GCAAATGGCTGCAATATAACAAAGAGTGAAAAATTGAAGGGGGTCTGAATACTTTCCGTACCCACTGTATATAATAAATAAAAAGAAATTGAAATCAATTGAATGGCAAAGCTCGCATTCACTTTTTTGTGCACACACTTTGGATGTGTGTGCAATACAGAAAACAGCGAGCGAGTTTTCTTGTGCTTGAATGGTTTAAAATCACATTAAGATCACTTCTTCTGTGCGCGCTTTGGATGTGTGTACAGTATTGTACAGAAAACAGCACTTGAATGGTTTAAAGTTATTGATTCCAGAAAGAAATCAATAAGAGGAATTTAAATTTTAATTTTATAACAAGTATCCGATTCCTGACCTTAAGTATCCTATTTCAGACTTGGAATCGATTTTTAATTCCCAAGACATATGGGTTAACATGCTAAATAAAATGCTCTTTTTCGTTCAACTGAAAATGTGCCTGGAGTCCACCATTGCTATTACAACAAACTACATTTTAATGTGATTTTAAACCTTTCAAATCAAGAAGACTTGAGTGCTGTTTTCTCTGCTGCACACACATCCTTGTGTAAGTGTTCTTTAGCCTGTTGATTTTCGTTCATAGCATTCAGCAACAATGAAATGTTTTGCAATAAGACTTAGAATAAATGTGAATGATAGGCCTAAGTATTTTTTTATTTTTTATTATTGGAATTGAAATGAGGAATCGATAAGAATCGGAATTTATAAAAATCCAGAATCGGAATCATTCAAATTCAAACAATGCCCAACCTTACCCATACCCCACATCATTTTTTTTTTTTTTTACCGGCACCTTTCTATTCACACTGTTTTAATCTATCATATCTTTGATCAAACCTCTCAATTACATTTCTTTGCTTTTGCCCTTCTTATAAACAATCACATAATCTTACGTGGACTTACTTTTCAAAATTAGTTATAAAACAGTCGCTCCTGGCAACAGGGATAGCTAGTATGTTTGCTTAACATAGTGTCAAACATGACAATTTATGAAATTAATATCATGTTTGTCTCCAAAATAACTATATAACATCAGTTGTGTTTGAAATAACTTGCTTCTGTGGTTCCATGTTGCTTCTTATCACAGAATAAGACCGAAAATGTATTATTTTATAAAATTCTATACTGTGATAATGGCTAGCGCTGCATTATAAATATGCGCATTATAGAAATATATGCGTTATAAATCATTCTTATGAAAATACCCAAAATGGGTTTAAGAACACAGATAAACACAGATATAAACACAGATCATCGCAATTGTGTGTTTATTGTCTTCATCAGTCAAAATGTTACTCAGCTGTGATATCTGATGCATTTGTCCATATAAGGGATTTCCTGGAACATCATAAGTTTAATACTTCTATGAGTCTCGCTCATGTGTTTAATTATCCATAATGCTTAAATCGCCTCATTTTGGGTAAAAATAGAAAAATAATACTAAAGTACTTTGGAACGCAGTAACTTGATCAGTTTTCAGCAGACAGTCTGAGTACTTTTTCACTCTTACTTGAGTGATATTATTTTTCAGTACTTTTACTTGTCCAAGTAAATTATTCCTTAATTAGCAATACTTTTAGGGCTGTCGAAAAAAACTTTGCATTCGAATTTTAGGTGTGCGTTAAGGAGGCAGCCTTATCAGTGGCGCACGAGATGCGTTGACTGTGTAAGTGTCATTGCTTTATAATGTATTTGTTATCCTGTCCAGTTGAAGCCACTAGATATGGCGCTGCTGCGTTGTTCATTAAAAATATTGCAGAAAAAGAGAACATCAATGTGGAGAAGATCTTGTTTACATCAAAACTGAAACCAAGCCGTTCACACAGAACGCCTATTTCGCACATTTTCTATCTGGACATCTTATCACCGTTGCACTCGCGTCTCGCACAAAAGAGCCACATGTTTAAAAAGCCATGTAAAATTAACTTTGAAAAAAATATATATCGAGACTTTATGGCGGGGGTTTTTCCCCATCCCACTGCATCTCATGCTTTTAAATGAAAAATGTACTCTGTGTGATTGGCTTTCTGCCCTTTGTATTAAACTATGCATACATACATGATGTTGTTTTGTTTATAGTCATTTAAGCAACTTAATTAATTATAATTGGTTTATAAACATTATTTTAAACATTATGCACTTTTTTTCACAGATAGTCATGTTATTTTATGCTTTGAATAAACGTGCATTAGTAATATTTTGCTCGATGCGCCCTCTTGTGGCCTCAGGAGAGAAGCCAAAAGCTTTTCTTCACCCTAACTGAAATTATACATTTTAAATTCGAATATAATATTTAAGTACAAAATTCGAATTTAGTTTTTCAGCCATTTTGACAGCCCTAATACTTTTACTTAAGTACAATTTTTAGTACTCTTTCCATCACTGCACTTTAGTATAGGGACCAATTCTCACTATTAAATAGTTGCTAATTAGCATGCCTATTATTAACATATTGGCTGTTTATTAATACTTATAAAGCACATATTCTGCATGACCATATTCTACATCCCTAATCCTGCCCAATACCTAAACTTAACAACTACCTTACTAACTATTAATAAGCAGCAAATTAGGAGTTTATTAATGCAAAAATTGTAGCTAATGGTTTGTTAATGGTGAGAATTGGACCTTAAAAAAAAGTGACCAAATATTATTTAATTAATGAGATAAATATCATAAATTGCATTGTGACATCAGACATTTTTAAATTGTTATTAATTTGTTTAATTAATAAAAAAAAAATGTTTTTCTTTATTTCAGTGGTGACAATGAGTCAAAAAACAACACTTCCACATCTAGTGGAGAAGTGGACAAAAGAGCATGTACATTACTGGTTAACTGAAGTAGTGAAAGTGGATAAAAAATATGCAGACAAGTTATATGATGAAGAAGTATCAGGGGAAGCACTAGTTTGCTACCAGCCCAGTGATCTGCATTACCTTGGCATTAAGCATGGTCCAGCTGTTATGATTAGCAACAGATTAAAGGAGTTAAAACAGCCTTATGGATCAGACTCTGCATCCCCTGAACATTCCCAGACACAGCAAAAAGAGGATGGGTTAGATACAACTGAGGAAATCCAAGACCTTTCAACAGATCAAACACAAATATCTAAATATACAGCAAAAAAATCGAAAACAAAATCAAGCAAAAAAGGAAAATCTAAGAAAAGCCAGAAATTAAACGTTAATAAAGATTCAATGGATATGATCACAAGTACTGATTGCCAGACAAAAGCAGTATTAAAACCGGCCCCTTCCCAAGACAAAATGCTTGAAGAAACTTCCAGTCATTCAACCTCCAAAGAAAGTGAACTAAGAGAGGCAGCTGGCCTTAAAACAGTGGTTATCGATGCAGACAAAACTGATAAAGAAAAGATCAAAAGAAAGCCTGGGCAACACTCATGTAGTCTCTATCCATTTGATCACAATGCTGCCTCTCATCGATACATTCAAAACTATACTTTACCACCAGAGACAGGACCAGACAATCTGATTGATCCAGTTCATGAGTATAAGTTCATGGGCAGAACAGATGATATTCATACAATAAAGAAGAAGTTCAATAAAGAGGTGTTTCGGTTTGCTGCTGGGTGTATGAACAGCCGCACAAATGGAACCATACACTTTGGTGTAGCAGACTCCAAAGATTCTCAATATACTCATGCTGAGATTATTGGGGTCAGTGTTGACGACAAGGACACCATCATTGATCATTTTA